GCCAGATCCTGAGCGTGAGTAGACCAAGCGGGCCACGTCTATGCGCTATACGGACCTGGCGTTGAGTACACCATCACATGTGGGCGTGATGTAACGTGCACCATCCATAGGCGTGAGTGGCACCACGTGAGTGAATGAACCGTCATTGACCCTGGTCGTGAGTGCAGCAAGCACATTGGTGTGGAACCCATGTGCACCAGTATGCATCCCATCCATCCATGCAGTGCGTGAGCAGCTATACGCGTAGGCGTTGATGGTGCACGCCTGTGACCAGTCCCATCCATCTCATCCATCCATCATAGCCATCCCATCCATGGCCATCCCATGCCATCCTCCATGGACCATCCATCCCCATCCATGGCCCATCCATCCATCCATGCCATATGCGCGGATGGATGGATGGATTTTGAGTGGGTAGGCGGGTGGTTACACGCACACACGCACCCGCGTAGGCATACATTATATTGAATGACCGATGTTTGTTTTATAACGCCACCTCGGCTAACTACAATCGATGCAACACAAAATCATTACTTTCCTAATGATTTACCATTGATGATAAATATAAGCGTAACGATCACACTCGTGTTCCTACGTGCCAAACGCTCTATCAACAAAAGATTCGGCATGGCGAGTTCAGAGGCACCAATGTTTTTCACTAATCACATCACATTTAACGTGAAACAGAAGCTAACTCGGGTTGGACCCTTCAAAAATCCAGCCACGACAAAACCGGGTCTTTACTCTACCTTACACTTTACTTACTCTACCTCCGAAATCCACGCAGCAAAATTCCTCTATCCGCGAATTTGTCGCTCGTTGCACGGTTTCAGTCCACCTGCTTATCGTCAGGGTTTTTTTCTCCATCGTGCGCACAGGTACAGGCAGCATTAGGAAGCGTCGATGACGTGTTATCCCGAAGGCGATGAGATGCGCACGAATCGAAGCATATGCACGTCGGCATTAATTAATTATAAGCCGTCATAAATCCGAGTGCGATGCTGCTGGCCGGCAGCTGCGGCAGCATAACCTCTGATTCATCAGGCGAACAACGAAAAAACCCGGGGCAAACCATGTAAAGCCATCATCATGCAGTGTGCTTCTCGGTACGCATCAGTGCATGCGCACCGTTACAGATGCTAATAAGTGTCTCTAACACGAACCTCGTAGTAAGCTCTCCTTACCTGAAAAACCTCTAACAGCAATGTATCGACGACACCTTAACCCGGTTTAACAATTTGAAAGCTATTCCCCCCTGTGGATTCCGCCCGTCTCTATACAATGACTTTTCTGAGACAAGCCAGGTTAATAACCCTAAAAAATAAGCGCCACTACCCTTAATTCGCTTAGTATCGCGTATATAATAATTAGAATAAGGGCCTATTGATAAATAATATAAATACAATCTTAATGCTGAAACTCGGTCATCTTTTCACAAAATGCGAAATATCAGGACGATAGAATCATTTGGAATCAATTAAAGACCTGATATGCGCAACAGACAAAAGCTATACTGCATGTTTACGGTGACGCAGCGGGAAACCAGTCAGACTTTAAGAATGCTTTGGAATTCCGATGTCTTACGACAACTATCGTGAATATTCGAGAGAGGTTGGAGTGAACAGCCTATTAACTCAATCCATATAGTTAGATATCCCGGTTGAATAACCCCCATTAGAACATACCCCTCTCGCTTTATATAGTTGTCTGAAACACACACTGGCCATGCTGTGGGTCTAATAGCTATGGGAAGGGGAGGACATATTTGAGCCCGTAGACTAGCTCGAAAGCCTGAAATTTAGATGAATGTATATCTGTAAAGTACTGTGAGCAAACGTGAGTAATACTGCCCGGTAAACCTTCACGAGAGCTAGCAAATTACTATTTCACATATTCAATATTTGTCAACTTTGCAGAAACTCTGATGTTCATTTCTGGTTTGTGCGTATTTGCCCCATGTCCTCTAGCGATAAAAGTCCCCCCAATTGACAAAACGGTAGAAGAGCCCCATATTGAATATAGAATGCGTTTGTTCTATTATAGAATTTCGATGTGCTATGATATCTACCAATCCCAAATTAAAAACGTCCGAATCGTTTTCAAAAAAACTCATGGCTCAAATAACTTACCGAACACCACCGGGCGGAGGCCAAACGGATGAACTGACCGGTGTACGGGCGGACCGACACATGAACGGATATACGGACAGAGCGTGCGAACAAACACTCCCACGGACAATAGTGATATATATATATATATATATATATATATATATATATATATATATATATATATATATATATATATATATATATATATATATATATATATATCCAAATTCCCATATGACAGACCCATGCATTCTCAACGCAACCCCCCGAGTTGGGATGGTTTTACGTTGATAATCTATGCAGAGCATGTTACAGGTGGTTAGGCCGAGAGGTCTCTACCCCCGCAGGCAGTAGTCCGGGTCAATAGGCTATAGATGGGCTAGGAGTTTGGTGAGCTTATGTATTCAAACACCTCCAAATATATGCTGGCTTCATCGGTTTGACGATTTTTTATTGTGCATATCTCTCACTGTTGCAACCGTGGACTTTGATACCATATACGTCTCACAATTTTAGGCTAACAGTGCAAACACAAAACTGCCATTTAACCGCCAGACCTCGTTTGTAAACCGCAGTCATGCATTAACGTATGCGGTTACCTGAGATGCCTCGGTGGCCCAGTGGTTAGGCCACGTACATTGTCCACCTCTCACTCCGAAGGCTGTGAGTTCAAACCCCGGCCGGTGCAGTGAATTTTCTCAAGGTGTAAAATCCTGGCTCTCAACATTGGAGACGGAGACTGTGAATCTCCGGATGACCACGTAATATGGCGGTCCCGCCTCCAGTAATAGTACTAAGGCTTTTAGACTGTGAGGAGCTTGCTAGCTCATGTTGTATGTTACAAAATGTACCGTCTTTAAATTAATAAAATATTATATCATTATTATGTACGTAACATGCATTAAATATGCCACGAACCTAATTTGCCTTACTTATATATAAAGGCGTAGACACACGCCATGCAGATATAGGCGAAATTTTAGCAGGCGTGATGTGACGCTCTGGCTGTAAGTGGACACCTACTGTAGCGGGTTTATTCAACAGCGAGATCGCTTAGAAACACAATCGACCTTTGGTCAGTCGGTAATCGCGGTAAACTAACTTCCGCTAATGTTCGCCACGCGATAGGAAGACGTGAAGAAAACGACGTGGTGCGCGTCTCAAGAAAAACAGAGGATGTATAACTTAGCGTGCAGATAATCGGCAAATAAAGCGGTTCGTGCAAATTTATTGTAGCCTTATTACACGCATATAGTAGGCCTACGCTGTCAATGCGTAATCACAGAGAATTTAGTTGGAATATAACCAGTGGGATCAATACTACTCTAGAATGCAGTCTCTGCGCGGTGTCACACATAGATACGATGAAAGCCTCAACATTCACCACACAACAGAAATGGATGAAATTATCGGGTTACTCTCTGGGTTTTGCATATTTTCCGCATTAATTTATGCCAGGTCTGACTTAACCTGTATAATACCAGTCGTCATGTTACGCTTGGCTGCGCTCGCTACACTGACTGAGTAGCGATGGTAGTACTCTGGTGAGTAGGCCCTAGCGGCCGTTACGAGCAGGAGCGGTAATCATTAACGTTAGGTCTGACTGCATATTAGTGAATTCAAGTGCAAAGTAGGATTAATATTTCGCCGGATTAGCGTTAAAGTGCAACAAAGAGAAATTTCCTCGTCAAGTTATTACCAGCGGCGTTATTTTACTGTCTTCGTTGTTCTTGCGGATACAAGCAACTGATAACGTGACCTGGCACGGCAACAGAAATTTAATTGGGATTGGATACGGTTAATCTAGACTATATCAAGAGCGGATAATACCTATAGAATAGGTATTATCCGCTCTTGAT